ACGTAGAGTTGTCAAGACTCTTGCTTCTGCTGGGATACAAATACTGTGTAACTCTTCATATTATCTGAGGTAGCTTTATAAATATCTAGGTACGTTAGTATCACATAGCTAGCTCTTGATGACACTATATAACCCTTCATATAGCCTAGGGTAGCTGCATAAATGCGGATTTACATATAAATGTTAATAAAAAATGTTCATAATTGCTTTCAGCATATTAAGGAGTTTGATTTTGTAGTGTAGACTGTGCACTTGTTCCTCTGGTATCTATTATTTGCTTTATTTTTATTGCATATTGTTTAAATGAAGGATTAAAGCATTTGTTCACTCATTTCTCTCTGTATTTTTTTGTTTACTGTATCTCCCCTTAGTTGGCAATCACAAATTTTTGCTTTTGGCTGAGTGTTGGTATCATCTGGGTGTGAGCTACAGCACAGCAGCCTTCAGTCCCTGACCGTCGGCGGTGTTTACACTCCCGGCCTCAGGACACACCTTTCCTCTCTCGGTCTAGAGAACCTGATATTGTTTTCGATTCCGAAATCCGTTTCATCCCTTCCCCTTGACTCTGTCACTATTCATGACTTTGATCTGTACCGTACGAACCCCATTAGCCCTTCCTGGCTACATATGGTGAAGAGATGCCTTCTCTCCTCGCTTTAAAGCTCACCTCTTTTTACGTTCCGGAATAGCGGCACTGACCCCTCCCCGCCCCATCCTCTGCTCTTCGGCACTCCCTGAAGTGCCGTAGAGGCGCAGAAGACATGCCACAACCAACTGTGAAATGGTAACAAAGTTGCAAACTTCGACACTTGCCTCTCTTTTGACACATTTACAGGCCGTCGCGGTCCCTCCCGACCAAACTCAGACAAAATACACTCAAGTAATCCCAAACTACCTTTGTTGCGTGCCTCTTACAGCCACGAAGAAACTATGGAGAAAAACTCTCCAAAACATTAAATTAAACAAAACACAAAATATTCTAATAAACGTGATTAAAATAGGTGAAACATTACATTAGACACAAATTATTAAATTAATTTCTTTATATTTTTGCCTGCATCACTGTGTGAAAATATTCCTAGTGTGACATATCGTGTTAAACTCAGCTAAAGCTTGCAATGATGCAAATGTTGAGGTATTGAGGTTAGATCCAGAGATGAGATACAGATGTGAAATCCAGAAGTTAGGGTACAGAAGTTAAGAAACTGAGATGTACAGGTAAGAGACTTAGGTAAGATACAGAGATCGGTACAGAGGTATGACATGGAGGTGAGATACATAGGTGTAACACAAGTGAACTACCTAAATGTGATACAGAGGTGCGGTACAGAGGCCAGACACAGAGGTGAGGAAGGCAAAAAACATCTAAGATAAAAGCAAGACTCACCAGCCCGACTCTGCAGCCCTGAGAGAGATAGTGACACCATCCGGCTCCAAGGAGACATGGGCTGCTAGAGCCAGCTGGTTAAAGAGGACGACTGTTTAGCCGGGTATATAACGATCCCAGCTGGCAACTCTGTTTCTTAGTTCGATACATTTACAACCCAGCCATTTTATCGCTTTATTTCTATTTGTAGAACTTCATCATACACTGATAATACAACGTATATACTTATATACTTTTATGTATAAATGTATATACTCTTCCATAAATATATATACTTATTCCTGAGTGTATATACTTATATATAAGTGTATATAGATATTCGTAAGTGATTCATAAGTGAATATACCTTTTCAAAAATTGGAAAATTAAGTTCTATACAAATAATTAAGATAATTTTTCAATATAATAGGAAATGAATTTGATTAATAGTTGGATTAAATGACGTGTTATCCGTAGGTAAAAGTAAATGATTCAACTCAGATTAGTGTTACTGAGATTAATTGTTGTAGCCTTGTAATTCAGTAATTGTTGTAGACTCAGCATCGCAGTAATTGTTGTCTTCAGCATTACAGAATGCCGGATGGAAGAGGACAAATCAGCAACAGGTAAGTGTGTGTGTGTGTGTGTGTGTGTGTGTGTGTGTGTGTGTGTGTGTGTGTGTGTGTGTGTGTGTGTGTGTGTGTGTGTGTGTGTGTGTGTGTCATTAAACCATTTTCCGGTTTAGGGGAAAACTTTCACCAGTTCACTGGGAATGTTCATTTTGACTGATGAACGGAGAGAAGATAAGAGGATGGAGGGATGGAGATGATAGAGAGAGAAAGGCAGGACGGAGAAAGATAGATGAATATATTTAATGATATGGTTGAAAAAGAAGAGTGGCTGAGAGAGTGGTTAGAAAGGAACAAAGGAGGAGATAGGGTAGTAATAGGAGAAGAAGGAAGAGAAGAAGAAGGAGGAGAAAGGATGGTGTGCGAGAGGGAACACTTGCAAAAGGGAGGCACGGAAAGAGGAAGATAATGGGAGAAACAGGTTGGTGATGGCAAATGGCCCTGAGCCAAATTGGGAACAGTGGAAGTGGAGAATGGTTGAGAAAGGGAGGGAGGGGCCGGGAAGGGAGGGAGAGAGTAAGAGAGACGGAATTAAAAATTTTTCTTAATAGAAAGGTTGGGGGGGGGGGGGAGAGGGGGAGGGGGAGGGGGAAAGATTGGTAACAAAAGGGATGAAGAGCTGCAAGAATGGGAAAAGGAAGGAAAAAAAGATGTGCAGGGCGTGAGGGACATTGATCTATCTATCTCTCTCTCTCTCTCCTCTCTTCTCTCTCTCTCTCTCTCTCTCTCTCCATCTCTCTCCTCTCTCCTCTCTCTCTCCCTCCTCCCTCTCTCTCTCTCTTCTCTCTCTCTCTCCTCTCTCTCTCTCTCTCTCTCTCTCTCTCTCTCTCTCTCTCTCTCTCTCTCTCTCTCTCTCTCTCCTAAGTTCATTTTCACCTATAAAGAACCTGACAAATTTTGATATCCAATTAGCACTATAAGACGTGAAACTAATAAAGAATTCCACTGTAACTGTATACCGCCGGTGTGAGTGAGCAGAGAATAATGGTGGTTATCCTCTCGAGAGAACAGGGTATTCTGGTTCTTCATACTCATTGGCCGGCTGGTGCGGTGTGGGTGCACTGCATAAACTGACAACTCTCTCACGTTCGTGGTGAAAGAAGGACGAACCGAACCACAGTCGATTTGAGAATGGGCCAGGACGGACCGAAACGTCGTCGTCCCTTCACCTTCTAGTGTGTGGTCTGGTCAAGGACGAACCGTAATGTGAGCTTGTTGTTGATAATTGAATGACGATGTTTATTGTGGGTTGTAGTTGCTTTAGGAAATCTCTGTTGTTTTATCTGTTAAAATATGTGTATGTATGATTAATACATATGATGAAGTCACTGCTGTGTACCGTGTTTGCTTCACCTTTATAAAATCTGTTATAATTATTTGAAATTCTTCCTTCAGTTTTGAAAAACAAAAGACACAATAATTCTACCATTTTCGGAAAACTTTAATGAAATTCTTAAATTCGTCAATGTTTCTGTGGCTGTTGGTATATGTATATGTATGAAGACATAGATGCTCTACTACAGTTATAAGACAAGCTTGAAAGATGATTTGTAAGAAGATAGTGTATTCCAAAGACCTCTGCTTTGTTGATATATATACATATATATATATATATATATATATATATATATATATATGTATATAGATATATATATATATATATATATTATATATATATATATATATATATATATATATATATATATATATATATATAGGGAGAGAGAGAACTACGAGCATCTCTGGCTACCCAAGACCCTGGCGTTGTTCCAGGGGCCCCCATCGTGCTGGGACATTAATTCTCCTCCGCAGGCATGACCAAAAGAGAAAATTCTAAATTAATACATAGTAGGCAAGTTTCCAAAATCTTCTTGTTGTGTAGTTGGGGTTTAGTACTGGAGTCAGGGGCAGAGGGCGCCGGTGGTGGCTTAATCTCATCACAGTCAACAGTTTTACTCTAGTTTTTAGGTTAACTTTATATAACTTTATTTAGCTTTGAAGTATAATTTGGATTGTGTTCATGATTAGCATTAACGCTATTAGTGTAATATATCATCACAAAAAGATATATTATATATATATATTATATATATATAATATATATATATATAGATATAATATATATATAATATATATATATATATATATATATATATATATATATATATATATATATATATATATATATATATATATATATATATATATTAGTATATTTTGTTAGCAGTTTTTCTTGTAAACATATGTTGTTGAATATATGACCGAAAGGGTAAATTTAATGATTTTATCACGAATCTTCTCAATATTTCTTACGTTTTTCTTCACTGTCGGGGGTAAATGAGAAATTAACTCTCCAAAGTTCATTCCCTCATTTTTTATTTATGGTCTGACGCCTAAAAGCGTTTCACAAGGATTTCTCACATTTTCAAGACAGGTTTACACATATCATTCCATGCTTATATTCGTTTTGGGTGAGGTGACAAAAGATAGAACACGAATCAATTGGTATGAATTGCATATGAGAACATAGGAATGAAAGTAACTACAGAAGGCCTATTGGCCCATATTTTCTCTTGCTGCTTCTATGTTGGTTCGGGGTCTTGAAATGGGTAGAATATAGTTATGTGTTAAATGGCTGTTGATTGCTGGTAGAAGTTTTGATGTATAGGGCCTCACTGATGTCGAGTCTCCTGCTATCGCTGTATCTATCGAGGATTTCTGTGTTGTTAGCTAAGATTTCTCTGGTGATGGTCTGGTTGTGAGAGGATATTATATGTTCCTGGATGGAGCCCTGTTGTTTGTGTATTGTTAATCGCCTAGAAAGAGACATTG